TCCATTGTGGTGGTGTATCGAGCCAAAGATGTTAGAATTGTGTCGATGTCCCAATATTTCTGGACCTGACTGTATGTATACAGCACCCATAGGAAATGTAAGTCAAACAGAATCCCATGTTCCCAGATTTAATTGGAGTTGGGGATTAGGGCTGCTCTTACAGCAGCTTTTCCAATCTGGTACACTTTTTGATTATGCTGGCTGGGGTGATGGGAATTGTAGTCCAGTGCATATGAAGGGCAAATTGGGGAATGCCACCTTGCAAAGGCTACTCCATAGATGTGGAGGTGGAGACTCTCTAATGTGGTGCATTTGGTAGATGTATATTCCTTACTCATTGCCTTGGGGGGCATAGCTACAATTCAGTGCATGATCATACACGATTTAATGACTCAGCATAGCTTGAAACATATGTTTTAGGCTCTTTGTAGAGATTGCTGTGACGAATAAAATCCAGCAGCACACCTGCAAAAGGTTCAATTTAGCCCTGCTCCCTATATACATACCTCAAACAGGATTTTCATTTCCAATTTTAATTAGTAGATCAAACAATTAAAGATGTGTAGTGTGATCTCATGCACATGTACTCAGAAATTAATGCTAGCAAGTCTTATTTCTTATTAAACGTGTTTACAAATACAGCTTCCAAATGCATTTTTGTTCATTATTTAATAACTTACAAACAGCCTCTTCAATAAAGTAAAAATGCTAGCAGGCTAAACATTACGGGAGAGAGATTTGATCATTTACAGTCTGTGATGATAAAACATACAAAATCATAAAACCTGAACCTTACAATAATGAAGTTACAGGTAGTTCTCAACTATTTGTTTAGCAACTGTTCAAAGTTACAATAGCGCTGAAAAAAGTGACTTACGACCTGTCCTTGCACTTACGACTATTGCAGCGTTCCCACAGTCATGTGATGCTTGGCAAGCAGCATGTATTTACAGCAGTTGTAGCATGATTACCATTTGTGACCTCCCCAGCTGGCTTCTGACAAGCAAAATCAGTGGGGAATCGTGATTCACTTAACGACTACTGCAAAAAAGTCATAAAATCGGGTGTGGTCATGTGATGCCTTGCTTAACGACAAATTTTCGTTTCCTATTGTGGTCGTAAGTCGAGGACTACCTGTAAAAATGTTTTACAGTAACATCCTTTTTTTTTTTAAAGAGTTTTTATCCCTCCTTTATTATTTTTATAAATAACTCAAGGCGGCAAACATATCTAATACTCCTTCCTCCTCCTATTGTCCTTACAACAACCCTGTGAGGTGAGTTGGGCTAAGAGAGAGTGACGGGCCCAAAGTCCCCCAGCCAGCTTTCATGCCTAAGGCAATCT